GCGGGTCTCGAACCCACGGGCTCAGGCAATCCACTCACCTCAGCCTCCCAAAGGCGCGGGATTACAGGCTGAGCCACCGAGCCCGGCAGGAAACACAGTTAAAGAGTTAGGTTAGGGCAAGCTTGTGGAAGGTCTCAATTATTTTCTTGGGACTTTAGGTTTGATCTTGTGGGCAGTGAGATATCCTCAAAGTGTTTTAAATAGAATAGACACATGATCAAATATGCATTTTAGCACAGCCGCCTCTGAATGCAGTTTGGAAGAGTATTATGAAGGATTAAACCAGGAGGTCGGAAGACCTGCTGGGAAATAATTGCAATCACGGAGGCAAGAAATGATGTGACACAAAATTAAGATAGCAGCACTTGGCATAGAGATGATAGGATAAAGTTTGTAAGAATTTGGGGCTTACTCAGAAAGAAGGTAAGTGTCAAGGATATATTTGATTTTGCCTTTTTTATAATTACTTTTTAATTGTTCTTTATTTAGAACACAGGAAAGGGAGTAGACTGGGGGTTGAGTGTGGTAAGATATGTATTCTATATATTTTGAGTCTGGGATACTTGCAGAATATTCACGAGGAGATACAAATCCAGGCATAGAGTACAGGAAAGAGGTTTGGGTTAGAGATACCCATTAAAAACCACTAGTCATAAGAATTAGTTGAGACCAAGTGAGCTGATGAAATAATTATAGCATTTGACCCAGCTGTTAACTGTCACTTAGGTCTTATGGGAACCCTTGCATAACAGAGAAGAATATTTTTTGCCAGAAGGTGGAAACAACGCCCAAGATCCCAGACCCACAACCATCTGAATTCTTCAGCTATGCATTTGGCAGAAGCTGAACACCAGCATCCACAGAGGAAACATATTTTGTCTTGTAGATCCAATTTTCCTTGCCCAAAATTCTTAGTTTGGATACAAAGACTATATGATATTTGACATATGGTTGGTTTTGGGATTTTTGTTTTTCTCAATAATTTGATCAGATTTGCATATGATCCATTTGATCACTTACCACAATCAATTATAAATGTAGTAAATATTTGGCAAAATCAAAAAAGCTTACATACACAGATTAGATGGGCTGTGAATACAGACTTGGAAACAGATGCATAGATCCTTTCTGAAGTTTTCTCTTTCAGGGTTCTCAGTCTCTCCTGGCGAAATCAGTATGACTATGTAATTCAAAGTGAAATTCCTCAATGGTTTCTTCTGGTGGCTCTATAAATGTCAGGGATGGTGGAAGAGTCAGACTGGCAGCTGCAAAGTAGTCTCCATGGTACTCATCAAGAAAGACCCAGTGAATTTTTTCGGCCAGTTTGATTTTTCTGTGCTCTTATAGATCTATTCGTTATTTCTTTTCCCAAGTATTTGACACTTCATAAGGCAAGCAGAATTTGACATAGTTTAAGCCCTTGATTTATCTAAATCTTATGAAGACCTTCCCTAGTTATAATAGCGGTCTTTATTCTTTATTTTCTTGGGTGAAAATAAATGATGTGTTTTAACTTCAGTTGCAAAATGACATCAAAGCCTCTGAACTTGGCAGGAGGCTCATATAAAGTTTACATAGTGAGGTTTCTTTATGATTATTCTTTAAATTACAAAAGTAATGCATAAATTAAAAAATCCAAACTATTAAAAGCACAAAAGTAAAAAGAAGAAATGTCCATGATTGTTAAAAACTTTCATATGTTTATAAGCCACCTGAGAAGGTATAGATAAGGTTTTCAGTGACATGCTAACTTGTTTTGCACCTTTATTGTTGCCTACCAAAATATCTAAGCATTTACTTCCTATCAACACTTATAAATCTACTTCATTCTTTAAAAAAAAAATCATGGTATTATATAGTGTAGAGGTTCATTATTTAACCATAACCCCACCAATGGGCACTATGCCACTGCCATAGAAAATATTGAACCAAACAACTTTGTACAAATTTTTACACATGTATCTGCAGGATACATTCTTAGAACTGAAGTTGCTAGGTCAGATGATATATTTATTTTTTTCTAACTGATATTGCCAAATCTTCTTTCAAAGAAGTTGTACCAATTTATACCCTTACTAGATATGACCAGGAAGGCCTACTTCTGACCCCCTTGAATCCAGCACTCTAAAAGAATTTTGGGTCTTTGCCAACCCAGTCCATGAAAAATGGTTACCTTGTAGTCTAGCCTGCATTTGGAAAATGAAATTTCATTGTGGTTTAATTTGCATTTCTCCAACTATTCCTTGTGCAGTGAACCACATACTTATGCTTTTGCTTCATGTTTTTTCCAGTAGGCTTTTACTTTTTTCTCTTATTTGTAAGGACTGTTTGTTCACTAAGAAAACTAATGTTTTATTGTATTTATTGCAAATATATTTACACAGTTTGTTGTTCAACTTTTGAGTTCACTTATGGTATTTTAAGATGCTAAAATTGTTAATTTTATGAACTAAAATTTATAAGTCTTCTAAGGTTTCTGGTTTTATATCTTGCTTAGAAAGCATTCTCACCGTTACAATTATAAGAACAAAGTTCTCTATGTTTATTTTTTATTTTAAATGTTAATTATTTGGCCATCTGGAAATGTTTTGGACATAAGTATTGAGGTAGGGATCCAATTTAATATTTTCCAAAACCAAAACCACTTATAATATTTTACGTTCACCCCATGATTTATCATATATCAGAATCCCTAATGTAGATCCAGCTGTCAATTAACCTTATTCTGTTCAATTTTTTGCCTGCCTTTTCATGTGCCAAAACCAAATTCTCTTGGTTATTGTGACTGTATAATATATTTAAATATATCAAAAGTTCGCTATAATTTTTCTTTTAGTATGTTCCAGCTATTCTTTTGTGCTTATTTTTGCCATGAAATCTTAAGAATCACCACGTGTAGTCACTAAAAATTAAAATCTTTCAGATAACATTACAGAAATTGTGTTAAATTTGTAGATCAATTTAGGGAAAACTGATGCTCTTTCAAATATCAAGCCTTCTCATGAATCTCTAATAGAGTATATATTTCTATCTGTTAAATTACTGATTTATGGCCCTCAAGATCATTTTAAAGTTTTCTTCATATAGATCTTGTACATTTCTTAAGTTTATTCCTATGTGCTTTATGGTTTTAGTTCATATTGTAAAGGAACTATTTTCTTCAAATATATATTCTATGTAATGTTTGTGTATAGAAAACCAATTGACTTTTGTGATGTATTTATGATACCTTTTGCCATTCAAAAGTGTTTAACTTTTATGCAGGAAAATCTGTCAATCTCTTCTTTTGTAGCTCTGGGTTCCAGGCCTTGCTTCAGAAGAACTTTCCCATTACCCAGATGCTAAAGACACATCCCATATTTTCTTCTAATATTTATAGTTTTCATTTTACATTTAGATCTTTAATCCATCTGGAATTTATTTCTATATATTGCATGAGATTGAAATCTAACTTTATTTTTTCCAGATGGATTGTAAAATTTCCCAACATTATTTGTAAAGTTGGTCAGCCTTTCCTCACTGGTTTGAAATGTCACTTTAATCATATTCTAAATAGATCAGTTTTATTTTTTAAACCAGAGTTTAAAAACCATAAAGGAAATGAATAACAGTAGAGAACAAAGGCATGAAAGGCAGACAAAAAAAAGTCATTAAGATACAGTTGTGCACACACTATTTAATATGCATAATAAAATACAAAGGTCATTCATAGTAAAATAGTATAAATATAAACACTGTAGAGAAAATATTTTTATACAGTATGCTAGCAAGAAAGATTCAGAGGATGGATACTCATGAACTATAAGGCTGTAACAGTTAATTATTCAAACATTGTTTAGAGTACTCCCATCATATGGAAAGTTATTTGAAGCCTCAAAATCGTAAACATCCTCCAGCTGCCTGGTTTAACCCTTAATCAGATGTTTCTGAGAGTGGATCAGAATGTCCACTAAGTAAAAAGCAAAGTCTGAAATTAGAAAATAAGCTACAGTCTCCTTTTCCCTGGTAATTCAAGACAGTTTGGTTTTTCTCTTGCATCTCTAAGCCTCGGCAGTATAGTTCAACATCTCTCTTGGCACCAGAGAAGAGCTGAGTCGGATACAGGCCTGGCCTTTGAAATTCTTTCTCTCTTTGACTAGCAGAGCTTGTTAAGAATCATTAAGATTAAATGCCAAAGACGATGAGTCAACATTCAACTTTGAATCCTGGGTGAAAAAGCATGTACACCTTCAATGCATACCTTTCCAGAGCTTTGAAAAATTTCTGTTAAATAATGAGTTAACAATTAGTATTACAATAGTGAATCCTGGTATTTCTTTGCTATATCTTTATGGTTTTATAATGCTGTGTGTTCATGGAACTACAACAAAGCCAAGAGTAAATTTCGGATTCTTCATTAGAACATTAGAAAGAATGTTACTGGCCAGTTCAAAATTTTATTTTCTTATGCTCGCAATTACAGCTTAAATAAAAATTAAAGGATAATCAAAGAGAATTGTGGTTGAATAATCTTATCAAGTCAAGTCATGTTCTCTGGGACTCCCCCAGTAAGGCCAAGAAAACCCACATGATGGCCATGAGATATGTTTCTGCACAGTATCATTAAAACAGGTACACTGTGTTTTCTCACATGTGGAATAATGTGTTTTTAGGTAGACCATTTGATGGCGCCTTAATCAAGCAGTTAAATAGCAATGGCAATAATAGCAACAGCACCTCAAATAAGCCACTTTCTTCAGTTGTTGGGCATTGGCCTGATGTGTGTCTGGGAGGGGAGGCATGGCAGAGAGAATGGCTTGTATCATATTATACAGATGATGTGAGTCAGTAATCTTATGAGAAATAAAATGTAAACTAGTCCCAGGATGTCAACATATGGGAGGTAAATGATGATCCAGCTACTTTATAACAAACACTTGTATGATTCAAAACATTACAATGTTTATCAGTCTATGCTAAAAACATATAATTAACTGAATAGATTTTTAACTTTCATCGGAGTCCTAGGGATGGCTATAACCTAGACTTAGGAATCTTTTCAAATAAACTAAATGAATACAGATTTCTTTTTTCTACTGTAAAAGCAGCCAGTCTAAGGCAATGGGAGTACTGGCAGTTAGGTTAACAAATGCTGCCTTGAGCAGATTTTCCTGGAAAACCTTGCAGAACATGTGTCTATTTTTGCCAGCATTATTTGGCGAGATGGTCCTAGGTGCTCTTTGGCTTCCTAGTACTCTAAATAAAGCCAGACTTTGGACAGACTTCTTATTTCTCAGGCCTTCAGAGGAGTGCTAATTACAAAATACTTTATTTAAAAACCAGAAACTCATTCATGAAGCCAAGCCAAGTCTCAGATTTGAAAGCATTTAAAAATATCTTTGCAACAGCCGTACTACTTTATACTTTATCTATTTTTAGAGGCTTAATGTTTATTTTGCTGGAAGAAAAAAAATTAAAACATGAAAAATATGCCATGAGCAAATCTGCAATAATAAGCAGCACATATATGTTGTGGAAGGAAATATTCAACATAAAGCAGTCAACATAAAAACAGATTCTGCTGAGGCATTTTTATAAATAGCAGTTATTATTTTGCTTTCAATTGCTAAGTGTTTTAAATAACATGCCCTTAAAAGCTGTCAAGTTCTTTACTTCATATAAATATAATTGCCTGATCTTAACTTTTATAAAATTATTATGGATAATTATAAATGTATCCCACTAGTTTCATGTGTCATTTTACAATCATTATACTGTTAAAAATAGAAACACAAGGAAGAAAGAAATAAAAACATATAACTGAATGGCCCTGAAAAAGCCATTTATCGGAAAATATGCATTACTCTGTATAAAAACAGAATTTGTCTATAAAACTTTGTATCAAATGTTTTGAATAGATACCATGTCACACAGAAATTTACAGATAAAATTGTCTTAAGTGCTTGCCAATAAGCTATATCCAATTAAGAGCATACCCTGTCTTAAATGTCCCTTTGAATTCCTGAGCTTACTAACACAGGAGGAATTAGGCTTTTAAACCTAAAAGAACAGTTTTGGAACTGTTTGCCTCATGTAATTACTGCTATGCACCTCAGCAAATGTTCCCACTGTATCTTTAAAAGCAAAAAATCACGTAAAAAGGTTCTGAATCACCTTCATCTGAAAAGGAGAGAGGTATGTTAAGGGAAAGTATGGCTATTGCAATACTGGGAAAATGAAGTGTTAGTGCAGGAAAATAAAGCGGATTGATTGATTTCCACAATGCCGTGGCATATTCCAACCTCTGTCACTCATCAAGGGCTGTTGGTCGTGGGTGTAGCTGATGCAATCTCCATCACCATGTTCTCTGAGACCAAAGGCCGCCTCCAGGAGTGGCGGTTCAGAGGAGCTGCAGCTTTGTTCGCTACTGCTGGCAGACACCAGAAACCATGGTAACACTTACAGGGCCCGGAACACCTTTATTCACTGCTTCAGAGCTTCTCTGCATCAGCCCACATGATTCGACTTGGCAATATAGAAAATGGTAAAATAGGGTTCAGAAAAATACTGAGGAACACTGCAAATCATGTTCAGAGTGGAAATTGTGACTTTGCTAGCATTTCACCAGTATTTCCTGCCTTGCCACCAGCAGATATGTAACCGAAATGGCTTGCTGTGAATTTTGTAGTACTCAAGCCAAAAGCAATAAAATTTCTGTAAGAGCATATGCGCCATGACAGAATACCACATCAGCCCAGAAAAATGATTTTCCTGGGAAGGCTTGTGCAGCGGTGAATAGGGCTCTCTATGACACGGAAGCTGGGCAAAGAGTTTCGCTGCTTCCAGCCCACAGTGAGGTAATTTTAAAGGCACTTTTCCCTTCATTTGTTCTGCATTCACTGAATGTACATTTTTTGATGTCAGAGGGACATTGCAGAAAAGATCAGACGAGATAGTCTGACAATGGAGCCAAAGTTCAAAGCGTCTCTATTTTCAGGTAACAGCCGCGACAGTTTGTCTGCGCTAAATCTTTCGAGGGCATGTCACTCTAACCCTGTCCATAGCTTTTCAAACAGTTCAAGACAAACAAATCACTTAGTCGTTGAACAATGACAACATCTGATACCGTTACACGGAAGTTGTAGCAACAGCCACTAATCAAGGTTCCTTCCATTCGGTTTAAGAAAGAAAATTCCTTGGCTTTGGTTGAAGATGACTTTTTATGTTGTTCTTTTGAAAATTACTACATACCAAGGTTGGGGGTGCAGGGGAGGGAAGGATCCTGTTTGTAAGAAGAACCAGAAAGTGTGCCACTTTGAAAAATGAGCTATGGTGTGAGGTGGGAGTCATCGGAGGTGACTGGGGAGGCCTGCAGAGGAATATCCAGGTCATCCTTAGAATCGCTCTGCCAGTCCTGGGGGAAGAGCCCACTCTCAGAGGTCTGCCCCGGGCAGATGTATTCTCCTTTTGGGCCTTCTGACTGACTTTGCAAGGAAGCACGGACACACAATGCCAGCACCACCAAACGGTAGAGTTGCAACACCACCACGAGGAAATTTTTCGCAGCAAAGAACACCAGCATCTGATTGATCACCTTGAAATAGGTCATCAGTACGAGACGTACCACAAGGAAGGGACCATCTTGTATGAAGACGCTTATTCCAATGTTCCACAGATCTGCGCTGTACTGGCAGAAGAACAGGCCGAGGAAGCCCCTTGCTGTCACAGACAAGGGGCACACAAAATGCTGTACTGAAAATGCAAGACAGACCAGTTACCATCTATCTGAAATAACAGACATGGTAGACAGAATGTAATGGGGACAAGTCATTAATGATGGGGGCTGTGCCAGTCAGTGATTGGAAGTGATTTTGTAATTTAAAAGAGGGTGGAGCAAATGAAAGCACCCAGCCATGTGGTTCCTATTCATGTAAAACATTTCCGATCATCTAGTTCTCACTCTGGGATGGTAGTGCATACCTGTAGTCCAAGCTACTCAGGCATCGGGTCTTGATTATTGTGGAAATAAAGAATAACAGAGACTGGCAGGATAATCTTGGGGTCTGCAGATTACGGAGGCAGCATGGTAGCCTGACTCAAGTCCACAGTAGCCTGACTCAAGGGAATGTGGCTGCCTCTCCTTCTGCCGCATTTACTAGCAATGAGATGCTGTTGGAGTCACTTAACCTTTCTGGGCCTCAAGTTTCTTCTGTTGAAAACTGGGATAATAATGATATCTGTGGGAAGAGGGGATCAATCATTGGCTCATTTTGTTTCTGTTAGAATAATGACCCTGCCTTCTCTCCACTCCCTCTCTCAGTCCTTCCCTTAGGATCAAGAATGACTTGCTGGACCAGTAAATTTGGGAGATGGAGCAAAGTGTACACAGCCTCGATCATCCTAAACCCTCTCTTTAGGATCTACCTATTTACTGGTTAACTCACTCAGTTAGACGTGTAAATTATGCTATGAAAATTCAAGTGCTTATATTCAAATTTAGACTTAATTCACATTAGACATATTTTTCTAATGATGGTGAGAAAGAGCTCAATAAATGCCATTGTTATTTTATTTTGTCCTAATTCTTTGTTTCACAGTTTACAAGAAAGACTGGATATAATTACTGATTTTCCAGTTGAACAAAAGGAGGGCCAATCAACAGACGAACCTTTTGTTTTAATTTCTCAAATGTAAATTTAATTCAGGGTCAAGGGCAGAAAATAATCCTTTTATAATAATGAAGCTTTCCATTTGGAGCTTTCAAACAAAGAATGCCTCCGTCTACTGGAGCCTGCAAATATTATGAAGCTGCTTTGATATGGATGAACATAATGCACTGTTTGTTAAAAAATACAATAGTTATTTAGTCAGAAGTAACATTTGGTCTTTGTTTTTTAAACAGCTGCATAGCATTATCACCCCGGAAGTTTTATAAAATTTCTTTCTTAAACAAAAATGTTCTTAGCAAAGTCTATAAACCACAAGATATAGGAAGGCGAGGATCAGTAGAATGAATGACAAGAAAAACCAAGGTAAGTTAAACAATAGCCTTTCCTAAGAAATTATGGTCTGAAAATGATTCCCAAAGGAACTTCTAAGGGTATTAACCAATATCGACAGTGATGGCATCCAATATTCTATGAGTAGACACCAGCAGACTAATGGTGACTCAGGCACACTAAGACAAAATCTATGGGTCTGAGTGTGTGTGTGTGTGTGTGTGTGTGTGTGTGTGTGTTATTAGCACTTATTTGCAAATATTAATTAGAGATTGGGCTTTTGGTATTTAAAAAAGGGCACAGCAAGTTTCAACATCTATTGTGGTGACGGTTTTGTTTCTGAAAGTGGATACTAAGGTCTAAAATGGCCTCAGACCTCTAAGCTTATCAAAGGGAACCAAAAAATATGCAAAAATTTTAAATATTCTATCCCAAGGATTCATTCTAATCCTGAGGCCATCAGGTAGAGTGTTATTAAATAAAACTACAAGTCAGACTAAGGAAAATGTAATTATTAACATCTAGGCTTTCTTAAGAGTAAAGTGACATCCAGGAAAATGTCGATCAAAATTCTAAGGTTCCAAGGAGGTATGGGATGACTCAAGATCAACACTGTTGAGCTGAACTTTCGGGGGTGGGAGAAATGTTCTATATCTCTGTTGTCCAATATAGTAGCCATATTAGTGACAACTGAGTACTTGAAATGTGACTAGTGTGACTGAGGAACTGAACTTTTAATGCCATTTAATTTTAATTAATTTTAAGTTAAAGAGTCACATATGACTAGTGGGAACCCTGTTGGACAGTGTAGCTCTCTGGATCATCGCTAGTATGAAATGTCTGGGAAATAGCTTACATTTTGCAAAAACCTTAGAGGTTAATGTCTTTGTTAAAGTAAAATCAACGGGATTCTAAGGGCTACCACTGAAGAAAATTTTAATTTTTAATGTGTGATTCTGAAACTACTCTTACTCCTTCTGAGGTTCTAATACATGGGTCTGATAAAGGAATGAAAATAACCTTTTACAAACACCAGGAGATAACACTTGTACGCAAGCAAATTGCTCAGCACTTTACTTTGTATCTTATTGTGTCATCACAAGAGTCCTCAACCCACAGATACATTAACTGGTTTGCAAGAGGTTTTATAAATCACAACTAATGGAACCATTGTTTGAAGTGAACAATACAGTCATGCGATTATCCACTCAACTATCTTAAGCTTACCATGCACCAGAGTGGATCCATTCCTGGCTTCACTAAGTTTCAATCTACTTTCCTTCTAAGCTGAACTGGAACTAACACTGGGATATCACAATGATAATCCTCTCAATTGCCTTCTTAGCTTACAGTTTATAATCAAGGGTTGTAATTTTCTGTTTCTTTGCACAAACATCAAGACACTTACCTGCCAGGTCAAGTGGAAACTGTAGCATGCTCCAAGTCCATATAACAAGGATGGCATAGACTAGTGCAGGGCTATTCCTAGAATGCAGACAAAATTTTAAATTCAAAATAAAAAGTAGTATCACGTGCAGAAGAGAGAAATCTAAGCCCATATTTCAGTATGTCCCTAATAAAACTCTAATGAGTTGCTGAAATATCTAGGTGACATAATAAATCCATGAAAAAAATCCATACACCATCATAATGGAATAATAAAGAAGTGAAAAAGAAATTATTCAAGACTTAAAACCCAACATATGCATGAATTAGGACAAAGATTCTTGATCCTATATTGCTATCTGTAGTTTTACAAAATTATGGAAACATTATGGAAGAGAGATGATGGGGGAAACTAGATATTGACATAGATATTCAGAGAGCTAATTTCAAGGACTAATTTCGGGGTGGGGGAGGATGCTAACTAATACCTATTTTAAGATTCCTCATTTTGAGATCTAACTGAAAAATCATCTCAAAAAGGTTAGGCGGTGCTCACAAAATAAATGCTCTGTATATAAAAGAAAACTGTCTTAGGTTGAAAAACGTGAAGAGAAAGAAAAAAATTCAAAGAACAAATAAAGATTTACACCAGACACTAGAATATAAGGCATGTAAGACAAGGAATATGTCTGTTTCACTTACCACTATATCCTCGGTGCCTAGAACAGTGCTTGACAACTACAGGCACTCAATATATGTTTGTGAAAGGAGTGATCAGTTATACAAAAGAAGGGCCTATACTTCGACAGATATACAAATGTCACAGGCCTAAGAAAGTGGTCATGAAGACTACAATCAGAAAGAATAGAGGTTACAAAAATGAAAAAGATATTAAAGAAGGTAATTTATTTTCAGCAAAAAAAGAAGTTATCAATTTGAGCTCAGTGGTGTAATAACAGATTATGTTTTCAACTTCTATCAAGAGAGATTTTCAGATTGGAGAGGGCTGGAAAGCATCAGGGAAGAGTGATTGAAACCAAACTAAATGAGGTGATTGCAAGGGATATCTTTAAAAACTTCAAGTGTTGAGGCCCTGAAAAATTAAATCTCAAAACTCTGAGAGGATTTGTAAATGAGATTTCTAAGCCATCATTATCTGTCTTGGTAGTTAATGGTGGAGACAAGATTGGTGATAGAAAAATAAAGTCACAACTTTCAAATGAAGCAGAAATATATCTTAAAGTACAAAAGACACATTCACTATTAATCCCCGTTAGAAAATATAAGTGATTCTTTAAAAGATTTCTGAGAGCCCTTATAAAAGAAGATAGTTATTACTATCTAAGAATCAGCACAGGTTCTCTGGGAACAATGAACAATTGCATCCAAATAAGCTTATTTCCTCTTTTTTTTTAAAGAGTAGAATCAGGATTACTAAGCAGGTAATGCTATATAAATTGATGATAGACGTTTGGATTTAAACAAGGCTTCCGAAAAAATTTCCCATAGTGTCTTTATTAGCAAAATGAAGAAAGGTTCTGGGTGTGAGTACTGCTAGGTGGATTCCTAATTGTGTAGGTGACTCCCCATAGGGATCTCTCTAATGGGTTGCTGTAGACTGTGCCTTTGATTGTGTTCTGCTTCACATTTCATCAATGTCTTGGCTGACAACGTTGATGGAAGGTTTTTCATATGCACATATGACATGGAGCTTGGATAGAAACCCAGTACCCCAGAAGACACAATCGGGACTCCAAAAGATGTCACTAGGTGACCTAGATTACCACAGAATAGGATAAGGTATCACATTCGCAGGAGCAGCCATGAAAAAGGCTCAAGGAGTTTCCCTTACTATTATCTAATTATGAGTCCACAGTGTGACATGATTTATGATTTACCAAAGTCAAATGCAATCATAGATAGCTTCACAAGAAATATAAAGTCTAGAATCTTAAGTAGAAATGCCTTGGGGATGCAGACTACAACTTTTCCTGCTTTACAATGTCAATGTCTATACACAGTAGACCTTCAATAGGGTCTGAATTTTTAAATAATGTTACCTACAGTTTCTGATCTCAGACTTACATGCCAGACACTTTTCTAAATGTTGAACTCTGTGATCGTACTGAATCCTCATACCAATTCACCAAAACAGGCACAATTATTATCCCTATTTTACCAAGGAGGCAACTGAGGCATAGAGAGTTGAGGAAATTTGTTCAAAGTAATGCAGTTATAAGTGTCAGGAGCAGAAATCAAAACCAGAGAGTTAATTTCAGCATCTACCCTTTTAATCATTACACTACACTCTTTCTATTAATGAAATGGAAAGATTTAGCTCTGCTGTATTCTACCATGTTCAGAACAAATATTATGTGTGGTGCTTCATGATTCAGGAGGAAATTTATAAAGTCACTTATACAGAGGGGGGAGAATTAGGATGGTAAGGAAACTCAAAGCTGTGTTACATGTGGAATACTTCAAGAAAATAGAGAACATTCCTTAGAAGCTTTATTTCATATGTTTAAAGGGCATAATGTGGAAGAGAAATGGAACTGTTTTTTGTGACTTTAGAGGGCCAATTCAGACTCCAAGGCATTTAATTGCATCTGTAAGAATACAAATTTCATCACAATAGAGCAAAGTGCGTTCTAATAACGTTACCTCAGAAAAAGTTGCTTCTTGGGTTAATATATCCTTTATTAGCAGACTTTTTCAAATAGACCCGACAGAAAAAGTTATTGATGATATTTTGGAGAGGATTTTTCAATAGATGCAAGATAAATTTTTTATACGATGGTCACTTTTGAAGTTTCTTCGAATCCCAAACTTCAAAAGTCTACCAAAAATTCATATGCAATTGCTGTGCAAGACACTAGAAAGCAGCCACAAAGCATGGGCTCTGAGACCAAGTGACTGAAGTTCAAATACCAGCTCCAACCCTTAATAAAGGGATAAACTGTGGGACTCCAATCCCACATTGATCACTTACCAGTTATATGAATATGACAAGTAATTTAACATCTGTATGCTTTAATTTACCTATTTACAATATGAAGATAACAATAATAATAGTTGCTGGTCGTTATGATAATTTTATTAAGTGTATTATTTAAATATATTAAGCACATAAAGATCTTAGACTAGCACCTGTCACAGTCTATTATTGTAAATTACTACAAGTTAGTTATGTTTTGTTATGTGTAATCTCGAGACATTCTTAATTTTCCCTGCATGCACGTCTTTGCTTATTAAATGGTGATAATGACAATATCTAGTTCACAGTATTAATATAAAGACTAAATAAATTATTAAACTATAGCCCTTAGAAATCTCCTTGGCACACATCAAGTGATACATAAACATTGCCTAATATTAAGTGTGGCACTTCATATTTCATGAGGAACTTTATAAAGTAATTTTTTTATTGTTATGTTAACATGCTTCTTAAACTCTTTGTGTCTTGATTACATCATCTTACAAATAAAGATAAATGATAGCTTAACCCTAACCCTACATAAATCCAACTTTAATTGTATAATCATAACTGTGTGCTTTTTGCATATGCATGTATTAGCTACGTACACACAACATATGGAAGAATGTGAGTGTTGAGAAATATATTAGTAAAATTATCAAAAATAACTTTGGAAAAGTAGGTCAGAAAATTTTAAAGCAGGCAAATATGAATTATTAGATGAGACAGTAAAAATATGCAGGAAGGTTAAATGTTGGAATGCAAATGAATCACTGAGCTTAAATGACAAACACTTAAGATCTGCAAAGGAATTTTGGTGTGGATTTATCCACCACTGTTCCGTATACATAATCCACCTTCACAGATGTCACTGAGAAGCATGTAAGCAGACAATGGACTTGATTCATAAAGAGACAAAAGATCTTGAGATGTATAATTATAGATTTGAGTATCACCTTTCCTTTTTAAAAACGGAGGACAAAAGACTGGCATTTAGTGGATCAGCACACTCAATCTGGTGGGTAAAAATTAAAAATAAAAAGTCATTGTGCCAATTTGCTTAACTATTTCTTTTTGGAAGTGTAAATATTTCTGTAATAAGTGATGATTAGTGGGTAGAATTCATCTAGCTTAACAACTGACAAACACCTTCAGAGGAGAAAAAAATAACAAAAGAGAGGGAGAGAGATAGTAAGGAAGAAAACAAAGTGTTAACCTATCCTGGAAGAAATGTTTCACTAAGTAAAATAAAGAGAAATAAGGAGACATGTGCAAACAGAAAATCATCTTTTGTGTGGTCAAATATTCACAGTGAAATATTAGTAATGCTGTGACAATAGATTTTTTTAAAAATATAAGTAATCTATGTTGAAAAAAAGATATCTAAGATTCTCAAAGGTGTAAATGACCAGGAAACTTTTCCTGGCAATAATGTTGAAATCTTGACTTGTGAAAATGTTGGAAAGTAGATGAAGCAAAATGAAAGAGTAAGCAAATCCTCTCCCCAACAAACATGTATAATATTGGGTAAATTGCCAAAAACAACCATTCAAGGCTTTGAAAATCAACCAAAGGCAAACAACAAATTGAGTAACATTTATTTATGAAAAACTGACAGAACTTTAGGTAAGAAGAGTAGAAATCTGCAGCATTCTTTTCCATGGATATTTTTATATACTGAAACTGGAAAAATTGCACTGGATGAGGTTAAACTGGTGAAGAAATTACTCAAGACTATCGCAATAGGAGGAGAGAGACTGAACCTAACTCTGCTGAACCAAAAGGTGAGAGAGTTTTTAATCAATGGTATGAGATAATGGGAGAGTGCTGGAGTATGTTAGGTTGGAGAATGGCTCCTAAATCCTTGAGGAAGATATTGTTAGGTTGTAAAGTGACAAGAAGCTGGAAAATGTATATGTCAAAAGGGTAGAGAAAGAATGTAGTCAAGTTTTCTAAAGTAAATGATCTAAGAAAAGAGAAGACGGGCCGATAGGCGAAACCCTGCCTAGAGTTTATTCAAGTTGTGGGAATATTAAGGCCATCTTGATCAGTTAAAGTGATAGTTTTACCAGAGAAAGTCTGGCAATGAAAACCAGAGGCCCCATGTGGCCAGAGGGTGTTG